ACCGTACTATGTTACCATGGAGACGGTCATGAGCCTCTTAATATACCACTAAGTTACCATGGGGACGGCCATGAGCCTCTTAATGTACCACTATGTTGCCATGGAGACGGTCATGTCAGATGAAATTCAATGTGGACAAATGTAAAGTACTTAGTCTAGGAGATGTAAACAGAGAAACCAGATACCAGATGAACAACGATGTTATTGAGAAACCCGACTGCGAGAGAGATTTAGGAGTAATGATAAGTAGGAACCTTAAGCCAAGTAAACAATGTGTATTTGCTCGAAACAAGGCTAATAAAGTACTTGGGTTCATTCAAAGGAGTGTTACTTACAAGACTAGCGAGGTCATCCTAAAAGTATATCTTGCGCTTGTGAGACCACACTTTGATTACGCAGTTCAATTCTGGTCACCTTGGAAAGAATTCAGATGAGAATGACAAGACTTATCCCGGGTAATAGGAACCTTGAGTACAGAGACAGGTTAAAGCATCTTAATTTGCATTCCCTCGAGTGACGTAGAGTGAGGGGCGATATGATAGAGGTGTATAAATGGAAGACAGGGCTAAACAATGGTGACATTACAAAGGTACTCAAACTATCCAACCAGGAGCGAACTCGTAACAATGGTTTTAAATTAGACAAATTTAGATTTAGGCTCGAAATAGGTAAACATTGGTTTGGAAATAGAGTAGTGGGTGAATGGAACAAGATACCAAACATTATCATTAACTCGAATACGCTGGATAGTTGCAAACATAGGTTGGATGGATATATGAGCAATAGGGGTTGGGTGTAAATGGGACTGCCCAGTATGAGCCAATAGGCCCGCTGCAGTTTCCTCCATTCTTATGTTCTTAGTATGCCACGACGTTACCATGGAGGCGGTCATGTGAGTCAGCTTCATTCACCTCAAGAGAGCCTGTATCTTCTCCAAATGGCTCTGGAAAGGGGAAAACAGATTTTCTTCAATATTAAAACTCTTTATGTATGGCAGCAAGTATTATTGTGCATGACAGGTCCCAGTGTCCATAGTTAATACATGAGTTTCCTTATTAATAAACAGGCGGTCGTTCTATTCCCTTTGTGAACCCATACCGACGTTGTGATAGAACTGTATTCCTCAAGATGTATTTTTTTCCTGTCCTCAAAAAGAACCTCATAAAAACCTTAATCAGGTATAAATAGCAATTTAGTGGGAAACGTTTTACTTTTATTTTATTTTAGTGTTTACGATGTTCCTATACACTTTCCGATATACAGTTTCTGAATATTGTTGACAAGTGCTGCACTACGTCCTTGTAAGCACTACCAAATATGGTGCGTGCTTAGTCCACCTCACCCCACGGCTTTGTTAGTGTCAAAAGTGACCATGAACCTTTGTATGCTAGTCTCATGAATACTAAGTAAGCGTGAGGGTCTTTGTGTTCTCTCTCTCACCGTCATACTCTGCATTTTCTTTGTTGCTAGAGACAGATGATCCATTTTTATAGGCTAAGAGAGGGACAACTTGGTCTCTGGGAAGACCTTGTATAGGTTCTTGTTTAACCCACACCACCACCACCATTACTAGGAACCAATATAGCCATTGGGTTTTCGCCTCGACTACCGTGTTATTGAGACGCTGATATGATTGACGGTGTCTGTTATTTAACTTGGATGGTTTCTCTTAAGGCAGCATGTTGGTAGCGGTATCCAAGTCAGAGTTGGTCTTGTGATTAAACGATTTGCTGCCGGTAAGGGAAATAAATATGTTACAGGTGCAGCAGTGCGCTCGTCAAGTGCGTGAGTTAATGTCTTCAGGACTGCTACTGAAGTTGGGTGGCAAGTCCTTTTGTGCGTTTATTTTATCAATCTCTCTTAGTCTGCTCTCCACCACAACGGTATGTTTATAAGGTCCTCATTATGCTGCGCTCCTTAACCTGTTCACTATGGGGACGCCACTTTTAAGATTTTATTTGGTTTACGTCAGACGATTTTATTCAGCTCAGAGGTTACCCTGTACACAAGGGGTTAGTAGACTATCTCCACTAAGAGAATCAATTGTAAAACATTAGGGCCTCAGGTACCGACTAGTTTGACAGGTGTGTGATATTGAGGTCAAGAGAGGATCGTTATAGTTGTTCTGGGAAGTCAACATGGCCGCACTGTTGGGTGCAGAGGCTTATTATGGAGATCAGTGCAGCTACGTTCCCAAGGAGAGTAATCAGGGCCTAGTAGTTGCCGTTGGCCTAAGTCTCACCCGGGAATGTTTTATGCATACTATAATATCAGCTTTGTTTCTGAAGGTTATCTGTGTTAAGGTTCCTAACTTGGTCCTGGTGCCACCCGCAAGTCGAAACTACTGACCGGGTTCAACTCACCAACAGTACATCATTGAGAGGTGTTGCATGACATAATATCTGACCCCTTGTGTGCTCGACGATTAGTGCTGAGAGAAGAGGTTTCTCTTGCGACCTGTTTGTTGTTTTGATTAGTTACACTGTAACCTTCAGCAGCAGGTGACCTTTTGTGACATAATTTATAAAGGAAAAAAATAGCCAAAAGTCTGTTGATTTAAAAGCGACTGACTGAGGCTGGTGATGTGAATGTAATCCACACTATGTTCAAGATTTAACCCTTGCGTTATCTGATAAGTCTCGCTCCAGGGGTCTTCCTCCTTCCACTCTATTTTAGGTTCGTGCATCAAAGTATCGAACTGTTTGACTTGCAGTACTGTGAGAGAGCTACAGTAGTATGTCCGTGCGAAGTTCTGCAACGTCAGCAAAGTGAAAGACGACCTTTCATCACCAGGCAGTTGATGTGGCACAAATTAAAACAATTAGCTTGGCTGCAGGTAAGCACGTCTTTACCTCCTGCTGCTCTGACACACATACTGTAACGCCTGCATTTTGGTCTTGACCGGGGACACTTTCAACATGCTGCTTAGATTAATTATGAGATTCTCTCTCCCTCTCTTTCTCTCTCTCTACACACACACACACACAGCCTCAATCACCCTTGAAAATTAATGATCTCTTCAAAGTTACTCCTACCCTGCAGGAACTTCCAAACTACTGCCCGACAACTACTACTGTATTTCACCTTATTAGAGGGAAATTTTAAAAGAGTGGTGACCGAGTGGTTATGCCATGAGGCTCTTATCTTACTAGCACAAATACGGAAATATTCCAGTTGGTTCTCTTCAGTTGCCGCAAATAGCTGTTGGCCAAAACAGAATTAGAATTATACTAATAGGTGCGTTCTCTTGTCCCCAGATACTGGAAAAAAATATCATATCAATATTCAATGTTTTTCCACGGTCAGGTGAGTTCTTAGGATCACTAGCGGCTGACGATAGTGACTTATACGGTAAATCATATTTAAATTACAAATCTTCCATGTTTTTTTATCTGCCTCGTAAACTACACGCTTTTTTCACACTTCAGGATGTGTATACTTATGTAACATGGCCTGTATGTGCATACGTAACACAAGGGGAGTGGGGAGAGGAGTGTGGACTGGGGAGGAGTGAGGAAGTGTGGACCAGGAGGGAGAAAAGTACAGAGTTCTGCCTCCACTCCCTCTTATGCCCCTCCCCTGGCCTAAGGCTGGGGTATATATCTCCGCAGAGACCCCTGGAGGTGTCTCCCCCTATGGTCAGAACACTCCAGCATGAATAATACAAGGTAGGAAGGACTCATCCCTTCGCTTTGCAAACACATCATTTCTTTTTCCCTGTTACCAAAATTCATATCCGCGTCATCCGATGACCTCTGCTGCTCCTTGATCATATCGTCAATGGATTAAGTGATAAGGTACTCGACAGGGGGGCGCTGGTGGTAGAGCGGTACCGTTCTTGCCTCGCAAGCAAGATGTCAAGGGTCCCCTTGGTCCCTGTTCACCTAGCAGCAAAGTAGGTACCTGCTGTAAATCGAAAGTTGCGAATTCATATTCAGGGTCAAGTTGTTGGAGTTTGCAATAACTTGCTTAAACATAAACCATTGACTCTTCAGGCTTCTACGCCCTTGACTCTTCAGGCTTCTACGCCCTTAACTCGTGAGACATAAGAACATAGAACATAAGAAAATAAGGAGTCTGCAATAGGCCGGTTGGCCTGTGCATGGCAGCTCCTGTCGAGAGTTAATACCACTCTCTATCATCCATGAATCTATCTAGCCTCTTTTTAAAACTTACCAGCGTTCCAGCACTTACTACAAAGTTGCTAAGCTTGTTCCACTCTTCCACCACCCTATTTGTGAACCAGTTCCTTCCTCTCTCCCTCCTAAACCTAAACTTATCCAACTTAAATCCGTTGCTACGAGTCCTATCCTGCTCGGATATTATAAGAACTTTATCTATATCCCCTTTATTGATTCCTTTCACCCACTTAAATACTTCTATCATATCTCCCAACACATAAGGCAAGCATGAACTTAGCATGCTTTCCTGTTGGGCGCTGTAAACGCTTCTGCGCTTCACCTTACTCGACAAATGATCACCTTTGGCTTGGCTTGTACTCGTTCCTGATTGGTTGAGGGGTATGTTCTTGTGTTTATTATGGTCCCGCTGTTGACTGGAGGCGCTACACTGATTATACACTGTCCAGGTATAAACACCTGACACATGTTAGGGACCTGCACAGACGTCAAAACCAGATTTGTTAAATCAGGACTTCTCAAATAATGTCAAAACAGATTTTGCAATGAACTGGATTCACATAAACAGCTGCCGTGTGAGCGATACTAGTGAAACATATGAAGGTTTCGTAGAAGTTGGGTGTGTGTATGCCCAGCCTCAACAACGGTATCATGAGTGAACATCCATGAATTTCGCTCCTACGACCAAATGGCACTAATACTGTTGGTTGGCATCTCGATTGTTGTGTCCCCTTAGGCCAAGCGAGGTAGAGAACTGGTTGTGGTGGTGATGGAGAAGGGAGAGAGGGGGGGGGGGTTGTGGTAGTGTGGCGTCAAGGTCCGTGTTTGGCCAGGACCTGGGTTTGAAGTTACCCGCAGCTTCACTGGTACTACACCTCCACGTCTTGCTCGCGACGGACGGCCCTAACCCACCTGCCCTTACCTCCCTCACCACCCGCCTCCAGTACTACTGTATATCCTCGCTTTTGCTACTGGTTTTAGTACTTCCTCGCTTTTGCTACTGGTTTTAGTACTTCCTCGCTTGCACTACTTGCTGTCAGAGCCCCAAGGACAGAACACTAGGTAACAGAGGTAGTAGTGCCGGAGATGGAAGGACCGAGTATGAAGAAGCAGTGTGTGTCCGAGGAGGAGGTGAAGTCTTCCAAGATGCATGACAAGGTAGGTCATTCATACGCTCCTTTAGTTGCTACCTCAATCTGAGAGCACTTAATTAAACTCTTCTGCTGTTCCACCGTCAAGTTTAGAGCACCGATACTTGTCTTTATCAGCGCTTTTAGCTTCACGTGAGCTATTGTAGCCATCCAATTGTTTGTTATTGTGATGATGTCCCGTCATGATATAAGGCAGCGGGAAGCATCTAGAGTTTGTCTGTCCTCCCGTCCATTCGCGCAAAAAATTATTCCGGTTCAGTAATTTAAGAAAGGCTTCGCTATCTCACATAAGAAAGTACTACACGCACAGGTTCCTTATTACAGTATTACATTATAAGCGACGGCCATGATGCGTTCTTTACAATAGCTCCCACAAGTCATGGCTGAGGACGCGACAGAGTAGTCATGTTAACAAGACGACACAGCTAATTACAGTAGAGTTCAAGATAATTTTGTGGTCATTTTAAATCGTTAGATATACTGCATGGTGTCCCTTTAAGGGAAATGTGTTCTCTCATCACCAGCTTCCGGATTCTTGGACATATCTTAAAAGTTTTTAGGCACAATAAACTTCCGTGACTTCATCTAATGACGGATCTCGTTATTATCATAAAAACTGTGTAATTAACAATACAATCTTTCTCATCCCCATTATTTTGGTTTTAGCCTTTTATAAGAAAATGTTAATACTATATTTCACTTGGAGAAATTTGGCGCTAACTAATGTTTATTAGCCTTCGTTTAGTTGACTTTTAGAATATTTATCTTAAGCCTATGGCCAACGAGGTAGCGAATACAAGAGGTTCATGGGGGTTGGATGAATCCTTTGAGCAATCTCTCCTCCCATTGGTCAAGAGAACGACACACCCAGATCCCCGACGAATCACAGCGTCAGGCTTCGGGGGGTGTGGATCGTACGAGCAGCAGGGATGTGAAGGTTACTGGCTATGTTTATTTAATTAACAGGTTTGTTATTTCGCCAATTAATGTTAGATGTTTCCAAATGGATTCGTTAGCTAACTGTTTGTCTGCCATGAGTTGATCAGTTTACTCCAATAGTTTAATAACAGTATATGATGATAATATTTACTCACTGCCATGGCTTTACAGACGATAACTCATATTAGGTGTCGCCCTCAAGTCTATTATCGAAAGGGACCATCACCTACCCCGGAGCCTTTTGGAAGGAATTTTATCTGAAAACCTGAGGTCTGGTTCACCTCACCGACCTCATCTCCCAGCGACCCAAACAACCTTCTCGTGGATTCTGAAACATTCGCATGATAATTGTTTTCATTTAACTAGAGAAATAAAATACAGTACCTTCTAACTTACTTAAGCCACATGATGATGCCTTTATTTGTGTCAACAGTGCACAACTTAGGAGTCTACCGCACCTATCCCTATCTCTCATTACCAGTATGACTAGAATATAAAATATAACCCTTTGAGAATCTAGTTTAGTCTCTCTCTCTCTCTCTCTCTCTCTCTCTCACCCGCCAGGAGGTCCAACTTCAGGCTCCCCGCATCCTCACTCACCCACTCACACACCACTCCACCACACCACACACACACCACACCACACACATACCACTCCACCACAACACACGCACACCACTCCACCATATCGCTACCCCACTCCACCACACCACACACACCACTCCACCATATCGCTACCCCACTCCACCACACCACTCCACCATATCACCCACTCACCACTTCACCACACCACACACACCACCACACCACACACACACATCACCACATCGCTAACCTATTCACCCACACCACACACACCACTCCACCATATCGCTACCCCACTCACACTCCACCACACCACACACCACTCCACCATATCCTACCCCACTCCACCCTCACACACACACACCCTCCACCACACCACACACACCACTCACACCACTCCACTTTATCACACAAACCACTCACACTACTCCACACACACACGCACCACTCCACCACACCACACACACCACTCACACCACTCCACCACATCACACTAACCACTCCACCACACCACTACCCTACTCACACCACTCCACCTCACCACAGACACCACACCGCTCAGACACCACTCCACCACACCGCTACCCCACTCACACCACTACAGCATATACATACATACATACATACATACATACATACATACATACATGTTCAGTTGGACTTTACACTTAACCTTGTATAAGCGCCATATGTCACAATAGGACAAGAGTTCTGGAATTCCCTAACACACACACACACACACGTTTCCGTTTCTTTACTTCAAGTTTCCGGTGTGAGCAGATACTGAACTAGAAAAAACTAGGACAAATACGACACTGGAATTGAAACTTAGAACAAAACTGCTCTATCAACCGTACAACATAAAAACTCCAATTAAACTCCAAATGTCATAATTTTTTTATATCTCATAGAATTACTGTACATACATACATACATACGAGTACACACATATATGGTTAAATTTACGCCCATTAATTGAAGATATCGTTTACCACACAATATATTATGGAATGTCTCGTTAGATACCGTCCGAGGAATGACAGTGGTTCGTTCGTTGACAGTCGAGTCATTTCATAAGCATGAACTATAACATAAACAACCCTTCTTGACCCTTCATGCTGTGGGTTTATGTGGGTGTTAAAATCCACTTTCTCTACTGTGTTTATGACGTTGAGTGATGTTAATAAGAGTATGCTAGCACACCTACATGTTGTTTTGGTCCGCCTCCTCTCGTGGGTGAGACGTAAACATAGTGACTGACAGATACAAATTCTTCCTATGTAAGTTAAGTTAAGGTTGTGGAAATTACTGCACCTTACTTCATACTTGGCTCTGTATTTGAACTAATATTTCTAATATTTTTTCTCGCTGACAATGGAAATAAGATTGGTTGGAAGCGATGGAGTCAAACTAAAATTTCGTCTCTCTTTGGACCTAAGATAAGACCTGTACCTTCATTCAGTCTTAAGTTATTCTTCCCTGTTACTGAGAATAAGAAAATGTATGTAATTAAAAAGAATTTCATTGCAATTTTCATTCTATTTTAACTGACGCTTCAGTCCGTTACGTCGCAAGTTCTCTCGCGAATGAATGTGGTAAAAAGCATCGTAATTATCATAATTCAGATGTAAGAGATTTATGGGTAGACAGATAATATAGAGATAATAAGATGTAAAGAGAGACAAACAGACACACATGCAGACAGATATAGGGATGATGCAACTCTTCATGACCAATGTATTATTATTCTCTCTCTCCCTTTCTCTCTCTCTCTTCTAAATGTTACATAACACTTCCTTGACATAAATGTATAGTATATATCAGGTGCCTACAGGAGAGCTCAGGTTCTCAACTGGCTCAGCCATGTTAATATTGTTATTATTATCCACTCTGTATCTGTGTTTTTCTGACTAAATAAACTGTTTCAATTCAATCCAATTCTCTCTCTCTCTCTCTCTCTCTCTCTCTCTCTCTCTCTCTCTCTCTCTCTCTCTCTCTCTCTCCCTCCCTACCAGCACACAAGTTTCCCAACCTTGGCAACTCAAGGTGAGGAAAGTTGCCATGTCACATCAAAAACAAAATAATTTTGATCGTTGGTTTCGATAACTTTAAATCAATGACAAACTTATCATTAAAAAGTCATCATTATTTTGAGCTGGAAGTTAGACGCTTTATACACCTCTACGTTCTTGCAGATACAGTACGTATTATTAATGGGTTGACAGTAATGAACTATGTCATATCCTCCGAGTGTAAAGTATTGGTTATTTCTGTCGCTTAACCTTAAGGCAAAAGCTTCAAGGCTTCCATGTTATGGCAGTATGTGCTCAAGGTTCCAGGCTAGGGCAGAATTTAGTGAGTTACATACACGATAGAGGACGAAAATCTTGTTGGTGTAGTGACTTATAATTGGTCTATATTTATGAAAGGAGAAGAAAACAGGTGAGAGACAGCGAGAAGTTATTATTAAACACAAGTAGTGACTATTTGAGAGACAATTCTGTGGACAGATGAAGGAGAAGGATGTTTGCTACCTCTCGTCCGTCACCTGAAGAGGTCAAGAGCTTCTTCGGACTGTAACTGCGACTCTTGTTATAAAATGTAATAAAATGCATGTTAAAAAAAGCAAGATGCGTAAAATAGGTGGAAAAGGTAAAGCAGAAGATTATATCTACTCATAGTTTAGGGAGAATTAGGGTAATTTTCCCTGATCGACTTATATATAAATGTTGTATTATATAAACCTGAATAAAAATGCCTGGGACGCCCGAGGACTTATAATACCATAGTGTAACGTCTACTCAGGGTCATCGGTGTCCTTGGGACACCGTGGAACCTAAAACACTTTGGGACCTGGAACACCTTGGGACATCCTAAGGCTTGGGACCTAGCACACCTTGATAACCTGAGACTTAAGTAAGTTTTCCGGGAAGGAGCATTACATCAATATCTCGTGAGTAACAACAAAATTTTCCCTTCTTGCGGCATAAACCTCCGGAGTCTGCGAGAAATTTCCTCCAAAATTAGAAAGGTCAGAGTGGCATCTTGTCATTCACCAACATTAAAAACAAACCCAAAGATGGATTCTTAGTAAGTATGTACGGTAATTATTTCCTTAAGTGGTGATATGAAAATATAAACAAACGCCTTAATAAATAAATATGAATCATAAGTTCATACATTAAATATTTTTTTTATTCTAAATAGGCCCCAGTCTCCTTGGTTCTCATTCAACCTAACGCTAACCTAACCATTTGGATTAAGGCCTAACAAGACCACGTTCCTCTTAGGACAGGGGATATTAGAAGTGACCCCAGTCTTAGTGGTTAAGTGAGTCAGGTTAAATTATGGTTCAACTCGTCCAGTCACCAATAATTATTTATAGGTTACTTCTTTTACGAGAGAGAGAGAGCCAACATGGCCTTAAGGGGTGTTTTCAGGTGGGCAAAGATGGTAGGGCACTCATTTAGGAACGCGCATGCGTGTGTGTGTGTGTGTAGACTAGAGGAAGAAAACTTATCTCACGCAGATGTTCGTGGTTCAGGAGAAGCGAACAGACTTTAGTAGTTAATTTAAAGTACCTGAGGCAAGCCCAAGCCCGGGTAGTCTGACGTAAGGAAGCCGTTGTATTACTAGAAATTCACCTTGAGCTAGTCCATGGATGACGTAACATTCTCCGAACTACCATTGTTTTCCTAATTATTGGTTTTTTCTTCTATAATATCGCCATATTTCATCTCATCAAAGTAAACAAATGAAGTAAGAAACAAAATATTACTCGCTATACAAATGGGATTATAAGTTTGTTGCGTTCGTAAAACAAAAACATAACTGAAACACGATTTCACGGCCGTATAGCAAGTCGTGACGAAGGGTTGCGAGCGGTGTGGTTGCAGGCCTCGTACATATATAAGGTGGCGGGAAGTGCTCGGTGTCAGTCTTGCTCGTTATCCGTCATCATCAGCGTCTACAGTGTGAACTCTGATATTCTAGTAAGTTGTCTCTTTAGTTATAATACACAGGTGACAGGTGTGTGTGTTTGATCTTGATTCAATGTCTTTGTAAGTTAATCTGGCGTTAACAAGTTGCGGTAGTAATAAAAAAAATAATTTTAATAATAATATTGGAATTGGAGTATGTGGTTGTCGACAAACATTATTACTGAATTAATATTATTACTCTAAACTAAAATAACAAGATGGTTTAACTAGTCCAATAAGTCCAATCTAAAATCAACGTAAGTATCTGGAAAAGATGAGAAAAACATATCCATTCCCAATAACTCTCAGTGCCCTTGCCAATGTGTCGCGTTTCAGAACCTTTCATTTATTCTCTCGCGCAACTATAAACGAAACTGACCGCAAAGATTAGGTAATAATGGCAATTTTTGGCCGGCTAGTCTGGTTAAATACAATAGCATTTTGTGGGCGCCAGTTAACTGATCGATATAACCTGGCGACATTGGTGGGTGATAGTTCAGTTAATCTATGTAAACAAGTGTTGGGGTAGAGGCCAATCAACAGATCTACAGGACTTTAGGAGGAGTAATAAGTGACAGTCAGCTTGTCTATTTTAACGCAACTGCAATGGCGAGTGACAGGTACAGTCGCGGACAAAAGTTCGCTCTTCGTGTTGAAACTGAATCACGGGAAGGAGTCTCCGAACTTTATTTACCCTGACTGTTATCTGGTGCGGGTGTGCTGTTTTATCTCACTTGAGGTCGATATTGCTTCATTTTGGGAGGGAGCAAACTTTTGACCCCGACTATACCTGTACCAAGAAGGGATTGTAAAGTGTACAGTCAACAACGAAAGTCCCGTTCGCCTCTCACCACGAACCTCAAGATTCAGACTAGTGAACCCGAAGCAATATAGACAGCGCTGCATTATTCTGTCCATAAATGCTTCGGATTCACGAGTCTGAATCTTGAGGTTCGTGGTTCATGAGGAGAGGCGAACGGACTTTAGTATTTGACTGTACTTCTACTGTTAAATCCGATTTAACTTCCTGATTCTGATGCTGTTCACAAGAGCTTGCACCTTATCGTCGTGTTTTATCTCCAGCCTACACGGATGGAGGGAGGCCAGTACATCATTGAGGGGGAGGAGGAGGCCCAGAGCACAACCCTCATCTTCTCCATGAGTGAGGAGGTCGGAGCCCTCGCCAACGCGCTCAAGATCTTTCAGGTCAGTACTCTGAGCATTTTTTTAAAGCAAAATTCTTAAACAGGAACTTGTGGGAATTCGTAATAGAATATGTGAAAGTAACAACACAAGATTATACAATTGCCTTCAGTATACTTCCTCAACCTGGAGACCATCCTAAGACGAAACTCATTAAAGAACATTTAGGCTTTATTAGTTATACGCATGAGAAGCATTTGACATTTAGAAATTTCTAGTGACGACCAATGATGGAATCGAAGAACGATATTCAATCTTGTCATGAAAATTAAAAAAAAATCTTAAAAAAGGCAACTATCTTCAAGAAATTAATGACACTCGAGGAGAAAATATCTCATTGTGGTGTTCTTTCCCAGGCCAACAATGTTAATCTGCTGCATATCGAGTCTCGACCCTCGAGGCGTGAGGCCAAGTACGAATTCATGGTGGAGTGCGACACTGCCTCAGGCGATGTCGGGGCCGCCATGGAACAGATGAGGGCCCGTTGCTCCTACTTCCAGGTCATTTCCAGGAATCACCTCGATAACAAAGGTATGATCCTTCCCAGTACAGAAAGAGATAATCTGTAATTATATCAGTACCTCTACCAATTCTGTACTTAAATTAGTATCAGCGTTAGTATCAAAAACTGTACCTGTAATAAAGTCGCACTTGTGACTATCATTCCTTGTTTTTTTTTTCTGAACTGGCAATTCATGAAGTGAAACTGACTGACATCTCCCCTCCCCCAGACACTGTTCCATGGTTCCCCCGTAAGATCGCCGACCTGGACCGTTTCGCCAACCAGATCTTGTCTTACGGATCAGAGCTGGACGCTGACCACCCTGGCTTCACCGACGCTGTCTACCGCGACAGGAGGAAGTACTTCGCTGACATTGCTTACCACTACAAGCAGTGAGTCAAGCACTAGTGTTTGTTGCTGTAGAATTGTTCGTTTTGTATCCTGTTGTTATTTACAGTGGCGGCTCATGATAAATTGCAGAAGGGGGGGAGGGGGGATAGCATTTTTTTTTAAATTTGCCACACAAAAAAAAATTATATTATTTACCTTAGGGTCTAGTTTGTGAGTTGATGATGGCGTGAATACTGTAGGGCCCAGCTGCGCATTACTTGAAAATAAACCTTTTCATTAAAGTTCTTTATTTCTGTGATCATTTTATTTTCAATAGATATCATTGCTAAAGCAGATAATGTGATTCACCATGGTATTCCACAAGAAAGTTTCGATTTTTTTCAGTGATGAAAAGCACCTTTCTGCCTCAGTCGTCATTGGTGTTATCATTACCTTGATAAACTTTATAGTTTTGAGAATGTTCACTGTAGATAGCTTTCATTAATAATTTCTCACAAATCTAAGAGACTTTCTGATTTACATAAATCTTCTCTTGTATAGAGCACAAAAAGTTCAGTTTTCAGTTTGTCTTTTTCAAGCACGGGATAAGGTTCAACTGCTTTCTCAAGCTCATTACTGGGAAAATTACCAGCATACTTTGGAAAGTTGTTTACCAGAAGAAGCCCTTACTTCCAAATGATTAACAAAACTAAATCTTTCTTTACATTGCATCACGATTACATCACAGACTTCTTTTGCAGCAGCTGATTTATCTCCTGAGCATTTTCTGTCCACTGTTAAGTTAAAGTGCTGCTATACATCTGCTTTGCACGTATCAGACTAGTCTCTGAACTGCTGATATTACAGCCCAAATTTCAGTGCAGCACGAGTGCTAAATGCGTAAAAAGAACGTACAGTTGCTAACTTGCTATGATTGTCATATAAGTTTAGGTGTATTATTCTTATGAAAATAGTATCAGTATAAAATTAAGACAACATTCTGACTGAATAATTTTATATAACAAAATTTTGTTTTGTTTTTTTCATTCTGGTATAGAAGTAGATGTATCGTACGTCTGATAGTTTTGTCGGGCTGCAGCCAAAGACTATATAAGAAAGGCGGGAAAGCAAGGCGAAAACCATGTAAGCCACAGAGCATACACTGTATAGTTGGCCGCGGGATCAACAGATGGTGCTGATCGAAGCTAAAAGGCTCTCGGTTTTTTTTTATCGATAAAGGTAGACACTTTCCGTCTTTCTTATATAGTCTTTGGCTGCAGCCCTATAGGGGCTGCCACTGGTTATTTACATCTTTTTTTTTTGCTTAATTGTAGAGGGAATAATAACTGGCGCAAGTTAACAAAACTTTGCAGCAGTGGTTGTAAATATCATAGTTTACACTCGGTGTTTAGTCAACTTTGCAGACGTTTATCTGTTGAATATTTCATACAACTTTCGTTGGAGCTATACTTGTGCCCCTCCCTGTTAATTTAGGTTATTTTAAATCTTAAAAACTGTTAATTCGAATACACTAAAAATTCCTGATAATTGTTTTTCAGTTTCCAAGAAATCCCCCGAGTGGAGTACACGGCCGAGGAAAAGGAGACTTGGGGAGTCGTGTTCCGTAACCTGACCAAGCTGTACAAGACACATGCCTGCAAGGAACACAACATGGTCTTCCCACTGCTTATAGAAAACTGTGGATATCGAGAAGACAATATCCCTCAGCTTCAAGACGTGTCTAACTTCCTCAAAGGTAAATATTGAACAGACAGGTTTACCACAAATATACAGAAAATAAGGGATACAAACTAGAGACGAATACACTAGTAATAACGGCATTAATCTTAAATGATATTAGAATCAATAAAAAGGGTCGGAGGGGTATGGTCGTGGTTTTTTAAATATCTACCACGTAAAACTTAAGTATTTCCTGTGAAATAATTTTGTTTTCAATCGGCGAGGTATAGAATTTCTCGAAGTATCGTTTACTGATACATAATGCAGTAATTTTATTGTTCATATATCAGAACCTGTAATATATTATATATACAGTACGACGTTCAAGTAAATCAATGTAAACAGTTTACTCCTCCAGGTTCCAAATTTGAACCGAGGTAACCATGGCTGGTAGTGAGACAACTAGTCCACATTAACAACTAACTTGTGGCTCAAGCCTTCACAAGTTAGTAAGGCGGTGTAGCTTTTAGCCCATCGTGGTTCAGTGGACTAGCTGCCTGACTATCAGTCAGAATAAATTAAGATTCTGCTGAATTATTTCATATGAACTCAAAATAAACTCCCAGACTATACTGGCTTTACTAAAAAGAAGAAGAAAAACTTACAATAATTTAACCCGTAGATTGCACTGGGTTTACGCTGCGCCCAGTGGCTGGTCTACTGTCATCTCGAGACTTCTTAGCCGGGTTAGCGTTCAGGGTTTTCCATTCGACGCAGTACATCCGTCACTCCAGCAAACCGCTCTACACTCCTGAGCCTGACATCTGCCACGAACTGCTTGGTCATGCACCACTCCTAGCTGACCCTGCCTTTGCCCAGTTCTCACAGGAAATCGGTCTGGCGTCTCTCGGAGCTCCTGACGAGTTTATTGAAAAACTTGCCACGGTGAGTTGACCCCGCGACACACACTAGGTTCATCAATGAGTTTTCTAACATCTAATCATAGTACAACAATTGGTATTTTGATTACGTATTATTTTACGTGTATCTTACTATCCTGAGGAATCCAGCAATTTAAGATTGGATTAAAGATTAAATGAAATTTGGGCTGGAGAGTAAGTTTGTACATCCACTCCTGTATAATTAATTTTTATTATATATTCTTCATATTCCACAGTGTTATTGGTTCACTGTCGAATATGGAATCTGTCAACAAAACGGAGAGAACAAAGCGTTTGGTGCGGGTCTGCTGTCGTCCTTCGGTGAGCTCGAGTACTGCCTCACAGACAAGCCAGAGCTGCTACCCTTCGACCCCGCCAAGACGAGCCTGCAGAAGTACCCCATCACCGAGTACCAACCGGTCTACTACGTTGCCCAGAGCTTTGAAGATGCTAAACAGAAGATGATGTGAGTACCACTTTTAGTTGTTTCTTGTTATTGATTCAGTATGAAGTAGAGATGAATGTCACATCCACATCTTCATCTGCTGAACATCCACAACATTTTCACAACAACATCCACATCTAGAAGTTGCTGATGTCTATAGTTTGGGATTTTTTTATAATATTTATTCAACAAATTATCATATAATATATATTTTATCACACACATCAAAGTGACACTTGGATAACAGGTTGGGGGAAAGAAAGGCAGTGGAGAAGGGATAGAGGGTGCTTGGAGTGAAAGATCAACAGGATGAAAGTAGCAATATGTGCATCTTATCACTTTCAATACACTCTCTCTCTTTCATGTCTGATAGTTTTCCCATTTTCTCTCTGAAAGAAATGGACTTTCATTATTCACAAGAAAGGGTTACATCCCACTTGGACGATTCCCAAATAGAGGATGTCAAATCTGACAGCCGATTCATGTTTTACCTTTGATTATCACTGTGTGTGACTGCTGCTCGATTGAGAATGAGCAATACATGTAGTTTACCTATTATATAATCATATAATAAATGTATTGTGGGTTTTATAAAGAAACCCTAACGTTTTCATGATTAACTCCCCTAATCCTTTTATGATCCTCCCGAACAGACAATTCGCCGCCACCATCCCAAGACCATTCTCGGTGCGGTACAACCCTTACACTCAGTCCGTGGAGATCCTCAACTCGAAGCCACAGATACATTCGCTGGTGAGGGAGATTAACTGCGACATACAGGTCCTCATGGATGCTATCGTAAAGCTCAACTAAGAAGAGAATTACCGTGTAGTTCCAGATTCTCAGATTCTTACAATATTATTTTTCCATAACTAATAATAAGAGACCAAGTTACTGTAATCTTTGGCCAATTTTGGTGCCATTCTGACCCTCATCATATCTTAACCGAGACATTATATGCATTCTCTCATCATTTTAGGTGAGATATAATACAAATCTCTGAGAATGTGGGACTTAGTCTGTGTCTATGTAGTTTATTATTAAAGGAGATTGTGACTGTACTAACAAGGCCATCGTGTTTACATGATCATCTCCAGTGATATTATTCTCCTAAGAGTGTTTAGTTTGATGGCAAAATATTTAGCAAGGACAGAGGCTACAGTGTTAAACCATTTATGAAAGGAGACGACACAAACCAGCCTACCTTGACCTTAAGTCCCAAGGTTAAGTTGGGTTTGTTTACGTTTGGTTGGTTCGTGTCGTCCAAGTTAACAGGTGGTCAAGAACTGTAGCCCCTACCCTGCTCCTGCACAGGAGTACTTTCTTATACCGTACGTTTTATAAACATTCCATATTCACAGCTGTTTATGTGCTTGGTTACCTATAAATACCTCTAAATCATCTGTCTGCGTGGATTCTTTGAGGATTTTCTGAGAGCAAGGTGATAATACAATAGTATCGATGATCTTGAGGCTTCACGTAATGCTATTAGAAAACCAACTCGCTCTCCCTGTCACGCTAATCTCTCGTGTACCCCTCACACACACCGTTTTGTAATCTCAACTCGGAAACTGCGATTGTCCGCAGAAACTCATCCCTTGTAGAGACAACAGTTACCCTCAAATGGAACGACGCCATTCGAATGCTTGATTATCTAACCAATTAAAGAGAAGTTGTAATTTAAAAACCACACTGGACACGGGCAAGTATTGTGGTAGAAACAAATTCTGTCCCGTCGTTTTGTCTGTGGATAATAGTTGACATCAGGGAACCAGTTTATAATAGGCGTTTTCAAAGCTAGTTTTAAGTAATTATTTTGAAGGCGTTTTTAGACGGAGAGCAAATTTGAGAAGTATATACCATGTATATCCTTGTGTGTTCTGTAATTTTTAGAATCAAATTTTCATAAGATGAAAGTTCTTGAGAATGCTGATAAAAAAATTTCAAGGCACTAACAGTTACATTTAGTGATGTAAGAAGGCTGCCATATTGAGCTATTCTACGGAAGGGTATTTAGTGTTAAGCTCTTCACTGGGTGTCTGGTTATATGGGTTCCAGTTCTAATAATCCTCAACTTTACCTAACCTCGAAATTATCCCCAGTCTTAAGAGGTCCAAATCCTAATGATTGGCTAGGCTGGGATCTATTAACAGTAGAGTCCACTTGGCCTGTGCCCGTCGTGTGTACATAAGTAGCATCTCCCACACAGTAAAATCTGTCTGTGGCAGTGCAATATTATCTATAAAATATTTGCACTCTTTTTATTAAAGGAATTATCATTTTCATTATAATAAATAATGTATTATCAACATATCCCCCCAAAATGTTTTTATTTTCCATTCTGTAGTGCTTTTTTGTTAACGAATAGCCAGTAGGTGTTATTAGACAATGGGATAACATTTTAGGAACTATACTGTACCAAGCTTAATACAACTGCCTATTGAAATTCCTTGCCCTGATACGCCTTTACATCCGCCCACAACTAGAGCACACACTCACGTCTTAGGCACACTTCACCCGCTGAATGTAAATGAAAACTATCAACAGATTCTCACAGAAAAATGTAATAATCAGAGAAAAGTGAACGGTAGGTTTAAATAGTAAATGTTCAGTGAAAGTAACCAATATTACAAGAAACGTGCCAGCTGGTAACAGTGACAGGTGGGAAGACAACAACACTGTGAAAAATAACAAGTATGTATCAGACATATCAACAATTAAAAAAAAATATATATATATACAGAATGAAGGGCTGAGGCAATATACCAGGGAACTGGTCATAAATTAAATCAATTTTGCTCTTAATGTAAATACAGTAAACACTCGACAACCGTTTGATAATTATTTATTAAAAATTTCATTGAATTTATCATCATGTTAGTTAAATATACGAGTTTTAATTTGTTCAACAAAATCATTGAAATTCACTCGAGTCCCCTCCCCACAAAACGTATCGCATGGGCAATTACTTGGCTTTATTAACAAATAAAACCAGGACGTTCTATTTTAAGGATCTGAATTCGGATTCCATTCCAAAGTGGGTTACATTCGGTCACATTCTATCCCTCAAATGAACACCCAATTTAAACCCAAATCTGAGTCGTCAAAAGAGAACGTCCCCATAAACATTTACACAAGACGTAAATAATATTGTATGAAGCATAAATCTAAACTAACGAATCCACAGCTAAAACGTGGGCTGGTCCTGGTATCCCTGGTACTGAGGCTCCGGGACATACTGGGAGCGTGAAGAGGAAGAGTACTTAGGGGGCGCCGGAGCATACTCTGCATCAGGCTTGGGTGAGGGGATAATGTACAGGTCCTCGTTCACCTATAATACAAAGAGCATTACCACGTGACAAAACCAGTTACCAGTGCAGAGAGAACCTAACTGTATAATATTTAGGTGCAATCTTAAGGCTTTGCTTACCAGGAATATCTATTGTATGAAACTCTGTGAATTCAACCCGGGTACACAGTTGTAATGTTCAAAACTATCTGAGGAGTTAAATATAAGTGAGACCTTGTTTTCACTGTGTGTGAGAGAGAGAGAGAGTGTTACTCACCTTGTACTGCTGGGCGATGGTGTCAGAGTCACAGCTCACATTAAACCACCACTCACACACTCTATTGGCCTGGTTGTAGATGGTCCCGTTGGGGCACAGGAACGACTCCTTTAAGCCGTCAGTCTTGCAGTAGTGCCACACCTGAAATGGATGAGCTAGTGACACACACACACACACATACACATTTTTTTTTTCAAAAGACACGAACTAGTCATATCAAATAGGGGACCAGTTCATAAGGATTACCTGACAACTGGATCCTTCGTCAGCATAGAAACCGGGGAGCTTGTCACTACAGGAGAAGCTGGTGCTGGGGATGAACGAGTGAATCGGGTAGTCCTTACCGGGTTCACCTAACAGACGGGAAATATCATAGATTACAAAAAAAAAGAAATATATGTTTACAGTGGTTTCTACTTTATAAGAGAATGTATCTACTTACTGTAGATTCGTTCTAGTCTGATTTTAATACTATTATTTGCCATTAACAACCTGCGACGAAGAAGTGAATAGTAACGTGTTTAAATGGTAAAGTTTGCTTATATTCCTGAGAAAATGTGTATTAAGGTGATTTAAGACTTACTTGCTCAGCGGCCTTTGCATTTTATAAAATCTAGATGTGTCAAATCATTTCTAGGGTATTTTATTCCTACTATTTATATATTGAAGATTTGTATCTAACTGTTTTCTGGTTGAGCATAAACTTGTGTTGAACTGCAAAGCGGAGCCACACTGGATCAGTTGAAGATTTTGCTAACGCTTCGACTCATTCATTCGAGATTTGGTATTGGGTGAGCCGCTCGATACAAATCAGTCAGATTGTGATAATTTGAGAACAGTGAAGTGGATCCCACCTTCTGCTCCCTAGTGATGAGTGCATTGTTATTTGTATTTTTGTACAAGTTTCAACACTTTGCTGTTCGGGTGGTTTGTCTATCCAATGTTCATAATTATAGGAAGAAAACGGGGACTGAGAAACTTGTGATGTTTGGTAATAACGGTCGCACTACATTACTCCCCTTCTCACATGCGTTCGGGCCGATGTTCGAACCCTTGACCTATTGTATGAACTGCCTTCACTTAATGTTCTTGCTTCATTAGGTGAAGTGTATTGTAACAGATTTAATTGTAGATTAGAAGTATGTCGTTTTTTTTTTTTTTTTTACTGCCCTTCATTGTAATTTTTTTTGAAGGATTCATTCTGATGGAATTATAGTGTTATGTTACGGGCACAGCGTAAATGACGTTTTAAATATCCTAAAATAGCTACCTCCCCATATTAGCCGGATCCACAGCAAGTGAAGGCCTGGCGATAGACCAAACCCTTCTCCCCTGTTTAAACGTTACTGGTTAGTTTTGGCACTATTGTGGCTGGGATACTGCATTGTCTAATATCGGCCTCCGCTGGCTGTGGCTTCGACTGCTAGGAGGGGTTGGCGATTACTGCCTCTGATTGTACATCTATGAATGTGGAACACTATCTAGATTTTCACCCTAGGTGATGAAACGTAGGGAATAGGTCAGGTGCTTTTTCGACCAATGAGACTTTATATGCGTGGTAACACCGAGAACTGACAGGCAGAGATTGGCAGTGATGTGTTTAACATTACTCAAATACTTTTTAAAATAAATTTTGCTATTAAAAACTGTTTATAAATACATTATTGAGCTTGTATTTGCGAATCCCTGGAATAACGTTACCACAGTACGGATACGGGATGGTTCAGTCCCTGGTATAACGTCAACAAACCTGGGATGGCATTAGTGGCCTCGTCGTAGTCCTGGTCTTCCTCCTGCTGGTACTTCTTCTGGTACTTGGGAGGCTCAGCAATGTACTGCTCAGGCTTGGGTGCCGGGTACCTTAGGATGAACACTTCCTTCAATACTATTGCTTTTATTTTATCTATAACTGAAACCTTTCCCTTTTTTTTCTCTGCTTCAAAGCAATACAATCCCTTCTGAATTAAAATATCATATCATCATTTGAACCTTAATTAATGCATCCAATGACGAATTCGTCATCCCCTATTTTAATCTTAATTTCTAATAAAAAATATATAAATTTTATCGTAAGTTAGAATAAGAAGTTGGGTTAGGTTAGGTTTTATCGGCCAATACATTATTACGATATTTGATTAGGCCTACGTATGATATTAGAATAGGTGAGGTTAAGCGAGGTTACGCTTTTATTTACTCGACTAGTCGATAAAGAACATTTTACTGGCTGCTTAACATTCCATTCGGTGACTATAAGAAACTTTGTATTGAAGTGTGAAGAAACCGCTCCTCAGGGATATATTTTCTTGGTGACGTTAATGAACATTTGCGTTAATGTGTTACCTGGACTCGTCCTGGTAGACTGGTACTGGTTCTCTGTATGTTTGGGGAGGCTCTCGGTAGGCTTGTTGGGATTCCCGGTAGGCGTAAGGGTTCTGGGGCAATGCTGACGCCACACAAGCCCCTAACACACCTACAGGACACATCAGGGAAGAAAGTGTTGATTACAAATTAGAGATATAATTTTTCATGTGGTCTTGTTGTGGGATGCAGGTGAAAGGAGAGAGAGCGAGTGAGAGAGATGGTCTAAAAAAAAGTTCCTGGCGTTTTATGTGGGCTGTGGAGTGTATAGGTAAAGCATGATCGATTATCAAAATAAACCTAAGAAAACAATAGTTTAATGAATCACAACAGACAAACAACAATAAGGATAAGAGAAAATTTATCGTAAATGGTTCAACATAATTGTTGTGCCGTTCATATCCGGAAATATTGTAGTGGATATCGGCCTCACTAGTCACTGTCTTGGGTTAAAGAAGCCACAAGGGTAAACTTTTTTGGAGCAAGAGTTGTGAACTGTTGGACAAATCTGCCAGAGAGTGTTGTGACGGCACCGAGAGTTACCTCATTTAAGACCAGACTTGACCAACATTGGCGCAAATACAGTTACATTCAGGAGCCAGTTCATGTCCAGTACTTGCCAACCGTGCATAACATATGTGACCGACAGCCCAAGTGGATAACAGGCCGATCAGTGATGAGGACGATAAAGTAGAAAGTAAAGTAGGGAGAAAGAGGAATACTAGAAAGAGATGAATGGAAAGAGTGGGAAACTGATAAGACACAGAGAGGAGGATAAAAGAGAAAGGGTGAAAGGGAAAGAAAACAAAATGGATGATTAGAGAAAGGGTGAATGGATGAAGGAGAAAAAGGGAGAAAGTAGCAGGAAGAAAGAAGAGAATTTGAGAGTGATATAGGTAAGAGTAACAGAGAGAGAGAGAGAAGTAAAATACAACTTTTGTGAACGACTACTTACAGAGAGCAATGACGAATCCCATGTTGAGTATCAACTAGAAAGAGAAAGGCGTCTATTAGTCTGGGCTGAGCCATGACGACACGACCCCCACACACACACCAGCCAACCAAGACGTCTCCTTTCATATGACAAGAAGGAACGAGAAAGTTAAGGAATTATTCGAAGAAATTTCAAGTCATCTTTAGATTACGACGAGTAATGGCAGATCAGAAACGTTTCCAGACAATTCCAAGATATTTAAGACGTTGAAAGACAGTTTGTAGCAAGGACGAAATACTATTCTTTGTATCCTTGGTTTGTAGCCATTTAGACACCACGATACATAATTAATAGTCATTTTTGTATAGTGATACATAATTTCAAGTAATTTTTAAACGATGAAATTTTCCCTAGCTATTTTTAGACGATGAAGAGTCAACCAAACACATTCCTATGTCATCGTTGGAAGAAGAGAAATAACATGATCAGAAACTATTTGAAACGACGGTCTTATTTTTGGATGATAAAAGATAATTTTAGGGTATTTATAGACGATATTAACCGTCGACACACACACACACACACACCAACAACGAATCGAGATAATTTTAAATAACTTTTCGTCGAAAAAAAAATATAAGTATTTTTAGGTTTCAGCAAGAGACGACCTCAGTAAATTTAAATAACGACAAAGACAATAAACATTCTACAAAATATTAACACAATTAATGTCACTCGTGATATATTAAGTAAAACTATATTAGTCATGCATAAAAACAATAACATGTTACAACAGGTGCAGTAACTGCTGTTTTAACGAGACTTTCTTAGATGTTCGCCCGAGGCATTGATCATACGGCGCTCTCCTTGTCAACTTTCTACCACTTATCACCCATTAAGAACCAACATATATCATCTGTAAAACTAATGGGAGGCTTTTCTACAGCACTCTCTAACCTCCAGTCAGCTGTTGTTGACGTATTTTCTTTATATCACATGTGAAACTTGCTGTGGAGGATCAGCTCAAGTGTTGTAGCTAATTGTGTACAGGAGACGTATATAGTTTCATTATGGGCTCATGAATCAATACCATAACAATCATAAACCTGTGAAGCGACTTTGATACTTTATTTGGCGTGATGCTATGGATTTTTTTAGGTCCATACATAGTCATATATTATTAACTCCCCTCTCTCCCTCTCTCAAGACAATTCAGAGTCTCTGGGCTGGCTTGTTAAAGAGAAAAATATCGAACACTGATATTGGGAGCCTTTGTAATACCAGCGATTGGTTACTCGTTAGGAATGATCGTGTTGTACGCTCCATCAGCCATGGCAGATTTCTTGATGGTGTAGCGTGATGGTGTGATGGTGTAGCGTGGTGTGAGTGTGTGGTGATGGTGTAGCATGAGTGTGGTGTGATGGTGGTGTAGCGTGTATGGTGTGTTGTGGTGTGATGGTGTGTTGTGCTGCTATGGTGTAGTGTGGTGTGATGGTGTAGTGTGGTGTGATGGTGTAGTGTGGTGTGATGGTGTAGTGTGGGGTAGCGTGATAGTGTGGTGTGGTGTGATAGTGTGGTAAAGTGTGATGGAGTGGTGTAGTGTAGTGTGATGGTGTGGTGTAGCGTGGTGGTATAGCGTAATGGTGTAGCGTGATAGTGTGGTGTAGCGTGATGGTGTGGTGTAGCGTGATAGTGTGGTGTAGCGTGATAGTGTGGTGTAGCGTGATATTGTGGTGTAGCGTGATGGTGTGGTGTAGCGTGATAGTGTGGTGTAGCGTGATAGTGTGGTGTAGCGTGATAGTGTGGTGTAGTGTGATAGCGTGGTGTAGCGTGATAGTGTGGTGTAGCGTGATAGTGGTGAATTGTAGTGAAGTGTAATGGTTTTGCATCTTAAGTTCACGTGTGCAAAATAATGTTTACCAGATCACTAACCTGGGTGTATAGATCGCAATCCTGGGTGTATTGATCGCAATCCTGGGTGTATTGATCGCTAACCTGGGTGTATTGATCGCAATCCTGGGTGTATAGATCGCAATCTTGGGTGTATTGATCGCAATCTTGGGTGTATTGTTCGCAAACCTGGGTGTATAGATCGCAATCCTGGGTGCATTGATCGCTAACCTGGGTGTATAGATCGCTAACCTGGGTGTATAGATCGCTAACCTGGGTGTTTTCTTTAAGTCCGTCGTGCGGGTGTCGAACGAGTCCCAAATTTGACCTTCTCTGCTACATTGTATAATTTAGACACATTGGGTGACTGAACACCACAGTCAACGGCTCTATTTTCCTTACCGAGCACAACACCAATGTCTATTTAATCCTTCCAAGTTTATGTAGTTAAATGAGTTAAACGAGTGTATTTTCAATATATTTTCATATATTTACAGTTAAAAGAAAGCAGAGAAATATTTCACTGTGTATTAAAACGTCAATGAATTTGATTCAGTGCCGACAAGTAGTACTTCTTTTGATATCACTATTGAAGTAAATAAAGGAAGTAGAGTAGAGAGGTGATCGACCAGGGTAGTGTGAGGGGGAGGGAACGACATCAGCTGTATAAAGTTGCTCCACTTTCTACCCCCGCCAGCTGTCAAAGCAGACCTCAACTTCACCTAGATCCCCACTCCATTCCAAGCCCTCCAGTCCTCTCCCTTCCCCAGCATGGCCCTCCAGACCTCCTTCCCCCAGCATGGCCCTCCAGACCTCCTGCCCCAGCATGGCCCTCCAGACCTCCTTCCCCAGCATGGCCCTCCAGACCTCCCTCCTCAGTATGGCCCTCTACACCTTTCCCTCTCCAGAGTGACTCTCTGCTCCCCTCCGACATGACCTATCCTCCCCCTCCTCGGCATGGCACTCCAGCCCATCTCACAGCACCCCTGTCACCAAACTTAAATTTTCCTCCCAAACCATCAACAGGGCGCTGGGAAATCATATTTTGTTACGTGTAATAACGGTGTGTGCCGACAGCTGGCTCACGGTGGGAACCTTCTGCGGGGGACACTCGAGGTGAACACTTCGACATTTGCTTTATATGTTCCCATTGAAACCGATTTTCTCTGAACAAAAATAACTTTTAGGTTTTGTTCTTGTATTTGCTCCTAAAGGCACAATTTTTCTCTCCTACATTGGGTCTCTAAAATGTCTGTCTATTGCTCATAATGTATTTTTTTTATTATTATTAGCGAATGTGAATTCATCTTGCGATTTTCTGTTACCGAAGCACAGGCTAATATTACAATGCTTTTACGACTATGTGTGTGTGTGTGTGTGTGTGTGTCATGCTAAGTAGCTATGGTCGGTTACCACAAAGACGGGGGCTGAAGAAGGGGGAGGGGAAGAGGAGGGAAAGAAATGGGAGGAGAGGGAGGGAGGGGGGAGGGAGATGGGAAGGGGGTGAACATTATTCTCCGGTCACCTCAATGACTTGTACAACCTAGTGGTGGTGGTTGTGTTGGTAGCTTTTTTATGGTAATTGTAGTGGTGGCGGTGGTGAACGTGGGGTTGATGGTGGTGCTGGTGATGGAGGTAGGGGTTGTGTTGGTGATGAAGTTAGTGGTAAGGATGGTGGTAATTTGCAGCCTCGTATTGTAGTTCCGTGGAGGCCTGGCCAACTGATATGCTGAGAATGTTTACCTGTGTAAGCCATCTATCTCCATGCTCGCCTTTCTTGACTGACTGGGAGAAATATTCCTACATGCTCTCGTCTACCTCGCACCACGAGCTCCTCACTGGTTCACTTGTATCAACACTGAACAAGATGCATTGGGACAAAGTCGAGCATGGAGTTATACAGTATACTCGGACGCCCCTAATTCCAGCTTTAATCTAATACAAGTTTTATCGTACTCACTCGAGCCCTTTGTACGATCAATCCTCCAATCAAATTTCAAGAAAATTTATCCACCAATTCAAGAATTTGTGATCTCACCAAAAATAGATATACTGTACTGTAAAGAAAACGAACTGGACATCAGACCAGACATTATAGCAACACTTGCCAGTAGACAATATGATTCCAAAAACATGTTACTCTTGACTGCAATGAAGGCAGTATTAATATAATACTAAAATGAATGCCACAATCATAAAGGTGAATGAGGTCTCAGTCACTGAAATTTGTTGATCCAATCATTACGTCACAGACAGTACCATTCTTATAAGGAAATAAGTGTCACAATCACTAGCAAATACTCACCCAGTCACTACAGTCAGACTCAAGCAGGGCAGTTAACCAGCTGTTCTTACCTGCGGCCTCTGGAGAAAGACTGACTCTCCCACAGTGCTCTGTCGAGGTTTTATACTCGCGGTAACTCGGTCGCCAACCCACTTTATGACGCTCATCATCGCCTGGTACGTAGTTTTTCGACTGCATGAATATTTTTTAAACATTAGTTTTTCAAGAGTTAATGCTCTCCTTTTTCGCGTGTATGAAAGCGCATGCAAGAAGATGTATAGATAATCTCACCATCCAAGGCAACAGGCAATAAGACACTCTCTAACCTCGAGAAAACCTGACGCGGAGGAAAATTATGAATGATTTCCTTGGTGGGCGAATATGATAGGTATGAACAACACTTGTTATACACGAAGGTTCTGAAAGTAAAAATGAAAGTTATCCAAAATCACGAAAGTTATGCCGTTGAAAAAAGGGTTAGGTGTGTGTGTGCTCCTTGAGCGTGTGGAATATTATGGTCATCACCTGACACAGTGGTTATTAAGGCAATCAGCTGACACTGTTTGCTATGTTGGTGTCAGCTGACTGTGTTTATTAAGGCGATCTCCTTATGTTGGTCATCTGACAGAATGGTGACTATATTATATTAGAATCTATAACGTACAGAATAATCACCTCAGTGCCGGGTGTCGAACGTGAATGGTAGTCAGGAAGCTTATCCACTTTTCGTCAGTCGAGGCCCAGTGGATAAGAATCCTGACTACCATTCGTGGTGGTCAGGTAAAAGGTAAACTAACTGCTTACGACGAGAGGGGCTTGTTATATGGCTTATTGGAAATTATTCTCTCTCAAACTGTGCTGGTATAGAATGAACGCCTCCCACACCACATCGCTTTCCCCCACTCCTCACCCCCTTCACTTAGCACACTTAACTCTGTACACTAAGTTACGTCATGGGTTCAGGCCCAAATATCATCCCCCCACCCTTCGTGATTCACTCGAACACAGTATTTCCGCCACACACGATCTCTAAATCTCACTTTCCCATCGCCTGTAAAGTTTGTGACTGGTTGAATAGGCACTAGTTCGAATAGTGCATCACTGTCTACGGCTTCACGAGTCAATCTCGGGGCTCGTGGAGCCGCAGAAGAGGCGACAGAACTTTTGTAGGTGACTTGTACACCATCTAGCAGCGTCTTCTTGCATACTACACTACTCAACTTCTGTTTATTTATGGACATATGACACCACCTGTTCACCTTTTTTGCATGTTTCGTCTATTAACTTTCGCTTTTCTTTCTTCCAGTCATTATTGCCCATAAGAAGTTCCTTGTCTTCTTTCCTTTTCTTATTTTGATATTTATTGTACACTACTGACAGCGCCAGTGTTTGTTTAGTACTTTCAATTATTGACCTAATTAAAACCACGAAATACATTTGGTAGCCTTACACATACTTCATACAATTCCCCATTAGGTTCCATACCCATTCTGCTTCATTTACATTAATACACATTACACTTAACTAACGCAGTTGTGACCAGACGTCCCCTTGGCGCTCCTACAGCAGCTGCCTTGGAGTCAATATGTGTCTCCCCTTCCCCTTCCTAACCCACCCTCCCCACCAAGAAACCAGTGTAAAGATGGTTGATTAATTTATTATTGTTACAAAAGTGTCAATTTCAATTCGAAAAAAATGGAAAACAATATCACCGAATAAACATGGTGCAAAAACAATGAAATGGTCCGTGAAAACACTGCTAGTTATTACGGTCAGTGTTTACATGCAAGCCTTTACGACACACTAGAGGGAAGATACCATGGGAACCAGCTTGGGGCCCTCCACACCACACTAACAGCGAGGGAGGCTTACATTCACGTGTTTCCCCCACACAACATCACCAAAGAAGGTCTATAACAACGCGTTTCCTCTACAACGCCACAGGCGAAGCAGAACTATAACAACTTGTTTCTTCTTCAGCAACAAATCAGTGATTCAGAAGTAAACTGTATGCTTACTCCATGTCTCCTTTTGTAACGAAAACTTTTGTTAAACATTTTACACAACAATGCCTCTGTACTATTACTAAGTTATTTTTGTCTATTATATATTTTCAGCCGTGGAGGAGAAAATACATGCCCACATGAACACAAATATACCCTGCTTTCTTCTGATAATACAGTACATACATAAGTCACATTCACACACACAAAACTCTCACTTTCAGTTCTGAGGAGAGAATCGTGATTTAGAACACGTTCATAATCTCCTCTAATGATGGTAAAATTGCACGTCATGCAATTTTAACACACACATACACACCCACCGAAGTATAATCTGCAACATACCTGAGGACTATAATACAGCACATTTTAACGAATAAATCACTACTGGGATCATGTACTGTACGAAGCACTGGTAGTATGTTAGGCGGTGCGTGATCAAGCCTTTAGCTCTTAACTCTGAAAGTATTGGCTATACCTTAACCTTTCACCTTCGAGGAGAATCATAACTTTAGCATATATTTTAAGCAGAAAATCCAGAATGTTGACCAAAGCAGCTTCACTCCTATGGTGTTCACAACTTCGGGTGGGATGGGACCAGATACGTCGTGGCTCTGCTGTCTCTCAGGGGAACAACATCTTCTGCCCCTAAACCAACAACAGTCACAGACATGGACTATGAGGCAACAGTCACCGAATGTCGTATAAATTTGCGGCTTAGCTGACTCAGATAGGGTGGATACTTTTTTTATTAAGATAGGCAATAAAAGGTGTGGAGAAGAAAGGGTGTGGGGTATGGGATGTTTGGGTTCACACTCAGGATGGGATGGAGAAAGGAAACTCACAATGTGCTCTCTGTATACATGTTGTATTGATGTACAATGCAGCTTGGTGCTGGGAAGTGGCAGCGTGGTTACAAGCGTGATGTAGAGAGAGCTGGTTGGTGAGGGTGCTCAGAGGACAGCTTGTGGGTCGCCATGCTCGCCGGCGGGAGCGAGGGCCGCCAGGCAGCGGCCGAGGAGGTGGTGTTGCTTGCTGCGGGTGTAGCTAGAAGAAGAGAGGTCACCACGAGGTCAGGTCTTAAATAGCGGGGGTAGGCGTGGCTTAGTAGTTGACCTCCGTGATGTATGGCGGCGCTGGTTGACCCAGACCACGAGGCATACACTGGGGAATTCGCGGGGTCGGCTACTCAGCGACAAACAGCATTTGTAGGGAAGAAATCCACTACAAGGCACTAGCGTAGCTAGGGGGGGGGGGGGGGGCGGTCCGCCCCGGGCGGCACTTTTGGGTCTGCTCATCACCCATATCTGCAGCTACTGGAGACGTTAATCCATCCCTTTGTATCGGCGGCAAGTTAATCCTTGTCGTGTCTGACCTAACACCTAACCCACATCATTAGTTTATTCAAAAGTATAACCTTGGGAACTCGGTTCCAAATATAGTAATAATGCTGAGGATTTTCCTCACAATTGCTGTTAGTGTTGCTCCCTGTGAGAGGAGTTTTTCGAAACTAAAACTGATCAAGAATTACTTAAGATCTACTATGAGCACCTTGCGGTTGAGAAATCTTGCCATACTGTCTATAGAGCGACAATTGACAGATGAAATAGTTTTTGACAATGTCATTGAAGAATTTGCCAACAAAAAAACAAGAAAAGTTACTTTGTAGAAAGTTGTAGTTTTCATTTCAGAAATAAAGATGGTCCTAATTTTTTACACTTTTTTACTTTTTTCCCTATCCTATATGTCGTTTTTGCTTTTTGTTTAACTGTTACTTATAAAGTTTAAGTATGTTTGGTGTGTATTTAAAGCATACTATATTTGAGTATGTGAAAGTACAGTAATATTATAATGGTACACAAACTATTTAATATATATATATATATATATATATATATATATATATATATATATATATATATATATATATATATATATATATATATATATATATAAAAGAGTGAGTCACTGTGCAATATGTATATTTTGCGGGGGCACGGGGGGGGGGCAAACTCAAGGGCCGCCCCGGGTGGCACACACTCTAGCTACGCCACTGCTACAAGGGCAAGAAATAATCGCATCCGTAAAAAATGCATATTTTGCCTACTTATAAACAATCAAGACAAGTAAAATTTACATTACGTTATATGAATTAAATAAACACTCGAAATGGGCGATTACCTTAGGTGGCAATGTTAAGAGTTTAGATGAGATGATTATATCAAACTACGTACAAAGTATAAAGTTAGGATATCCTACAATATAAATTGATACTCAAGGTTTGCTGATATGGATGGAGTCAGGAATTAATGCTGGTAAGCCCCTCAGCTCCATGATCGCCGGTTTTTATTGAAGGTGGTGAGTGTTGTTTCTCTGGTCAGGAACTGACAAAGGCAGGTAATTTGACATCCAATGGTAGCTGGTAAGATGCGCGCGAGACAAGGGAATGTAGACTCGCGCAAGGCCAAACACTATGTAAGAAAGACGGGAAAGCGTCTACCTTTATCAATTAAAACCGTGAGCTACTGAGCTCCGATTACCGCCATCTGTTGGCAACGTGACTAACTAAAATCCAAAGGTGCGTGAGGGTAGCGTGTCCATGTTTCTATGGTAACCAGTGGCGTGAGTTTTTTTTTTCCTACGGGAATTACTCCACCCGGGCGACCCACAACGAGGCCTAGAGGCGAAAAAATAAGAATAGAAAGAAATTTACAATTTAAAAGAAAATGTTATATTAATCTACATCACGAAGATGCCGGAGCTGATTATAATTTACCTCGACGTTCTTAATGTCTACACATACACACACACATACACACTGACACTGACTGCAGATGCAGAGATGCTCAATACATATAGACCTTTACGAGAAGGCTAATAAAGGTGCAGTATGGCAAATTGATGTTTTATTTCATTACAGTATTCAGATACTGTATAATTTGAGAGCATAGTGTGACATCAAAATCATTTGTACTGTTATATAAGAAAAATTTAAACTACATTATATTGCTATACATATTGTATATATAAGAAAACAGTCAAAATTCCCTTATAGCAATTCTTCATGCAATGCAAACACCAAAACCAAAAGCAATAATAAAAAAGAAAAAGTCTTGCTGCACTGTAATACTATGCTACACACTGCTACTTGTTCTTAAACAACTTATAACACTCAAAAAGACATATCTGCATACAAATCACACATCCTTACTAACCTTGTACAGTAAATGTATAAGGACAATGTGCAGACACACAAAAGTAACAAAACATACTGTAGTTGTACAACTTTATCTATTTCCCATAATATACGCACATTAAAAACAGTTTGGTGCTATTACCTTTTTTCTGTCTTTGGGGAAGACGTGAAACACAAGCTCAGGGTGATCTGTTTTTGTTTGTGTGCATACGGCACACGGGTGATGGTGGCGCCCATTCATGGTTAAATGTTCGTGTAAATAAACAGTCGACGTACAGACGACCCGCGCCATCTGTTGATCCCGCGTCAACTAGATGCTATGTGACTCACGCAGTTTTCGTCTGTCTTTCCTAAATTTCTTATACTGTACTGTATAGTCTTTGGCGCAAGACTATTATTTAAATTAGGAGTAATTATTTACATTTCAGGTAACTATTAAATAATACTTTAACTAAATATAACCTAAATTAAATGCAACACACACACACACACACATATATATATATATATATATATATATATATATATATATATATATATATATATATATATATATATATATATATATATATATATATATATA